AGCAGTAGTGGTGGTAGTAGTAGTGTACATGAATCACATCCAGATGCATATCACACAAGTAGAATATTAGATGAAGAGATTGCTAAATCTAAAAGCTTAAAAAGTTATACAAGTAATGATAGCTCATTAAATAATCTTGATTGTAGCTCACTTCTCAAATGTTGAAGGTGAATAAAATTTCATTATTAATAATTAATTGGAAATTACTATCCATTTACTAACAATATTTTTAATTAACTAATAACATTAGATTCTAGGAGTGATGAATGACTGATTTAATCTCCTACTATAAATTATTTATTCATTATACTTTTTATTTTATCTTTATTTTATTTTTATAGCTGAATTATAATAATAATAGGTAGAATTTCGGTTAATACCGATTACTTAATATTAACATGTATGGCCGATTACGGCTTAACTTTTGGCCACTCTTGTTAGTTAATTGCAAGCAACTTGGAATAATTTGGTGCTTGTCAATTAATTAGTTTACGAATTTACTTTTTCTCGATTACTGTATCTTTCTTGCACCTATACGAATTTGTCAGTTAAATAAAGATGACCACTTTACAAAACTCAAGAGCTTCTATAAAATTTCTCGTGATTGATTTATTTCAAGGTAGAGGGAAATCATGTGACATTTAATATGATCAACAGTGGCTATTTTTTTTAAAAATTTTAAAAAATATGCTACGCGTAAAAAAAATAAACAATTTTACAAATTAGATTCCTGAAATTCACCAAAATCAAAAAAACCATTTATTATTATATACAAATTTTAGTTTTTTTAACTTAAAGCTCAAAAATATTTTCAAATCCACTAATTAATGTATAGCAAACACTAAATATATTCTTATTGAACTCAATATATATACTAATAAAAGACTTTTTTACTTGAATTTCTTGCTAAAATTTATTTCATTTTTTTAATTCTGAGAAAGTAGTTATATCTTAATAGAATATGAAGTAGCACCAGGAATTATGTGAACAAAATCCCCAATATAAGGCATTTTAAGGTCAAGGTGTTTGGTTGGTTCAAGATGATACATACACTTTGGAAGTTATAGAAAAGCATGCAGTTGTTGAACAAAACACAGCTCTATTAAATTCATTTTATCAACAATTGGTAGTCAAAGGCATGTCAGATAAAGAAGGCAAGACATTTGTGCCAATAATTCCTGGATACTCTATAATAACTTACATTCCTAAGTCATTTTTTTGTTTTACTATAGAAAAAAAAAAGAAAATTTATTGATTATGGAAATGATAAAACATTAACACAAGTTATTATCAGACTAGTGTTCCATGTTGCAACCCAAAAAAGGAAACAAAATGGTCGTAAAGATGGTTGCAATCATTTTTATATGACACAAAGATGGTAGCAACCATCATCAAAAGTTGCAGCCGGTATCCTTATATCAGACATCAAATTCTGATTTTTTTTTTCCTTTCCATTCATATATAAAAGATAGAAGAAAAGGGTGTATTTCAATGCCTAATATTTTAGGATTAAGCAATCCAGAAAATTAAGGGCTGCTGTAATTCAAAGATACCCCGATACTTTTATAAATTTCACAGATAAAAGAATTCTTGGAGTTGAAAAAAAGAACAAATCTATACAAAATCAAATGAAAAGAAAAGGAGAAATTATTGTGAAAGGGTTAACAAAGACTTTTCACCACATACGACAATGAAAAAAGTAAAGTCTGGTATTATCATTGATGAAAAGGGCCTAGAATTGGGATAATAAAGCTTGTTAGTAGAATATACTAAATATAAACAAAAATATTACCAGACAAATAAAAAATATAAATGTGCAAAGGAAAATGTAACAAGAGCTTGTGAATCCACAAGCATGTGGATGAACAATTAATAGAACAAAATGATATTAATGATGTTGTAAAACAAGCAATAAACAACAACAATCTTGGCTTTAATATTTTCACTAACACACAACAATACCTTACTTTTCTTTTTTGGACTACCCTGCATTAATTGTGAAGATAAATTTAAAAATAACAAAAGATATGAAATATTCAATGTTGGTTTTTCTCTGAGAATAACAATTAGGTGCCTTATGTGTGATAGCATTGCTGAATATTCTAATGAACCTCTTAATTCAGGTTTTAATTTGTTAGTTACAGGCTCAAGTTTGGTAGCTGGATTGAATTGTCAACAAAATGAGACCTTCCTTGCATCAGTGGGAATAACTAACCAAATATGCAAAAACATTTCATAACAATCAGAAAAGATTTTTCCAAACTTTGACTACAAAAGCAGAGGATGGTGTAAAAGACACTAATGGAATGTATAAATCACATCAAATCTCTTGATCAGAATATCATTTCTGCTAGTTTTGGCACTTCATGGTCACATATAAGGAATGCAAATCAAACTAGTGGAGAATTTATTTTTTATTAGATTAAGAAATAAAATAACAGAGAAATAAACTTGTAATATACTTACCTGATTTATAGATTAAAATCACAAGCCAGTTATTGCCTATCATGTTGTTGAAAAATCCAGAATCATCAGGAATGAAACTGGGGATTCTAAGACCCTTCACCAAGGAGATTATTGTAAAGCATTATTTTGTGAAAATCCATGATATTTTCTATTATTATTATTATTTCTTCTGGAAGAAAATAAAGGAAATAATTTTTTATTAGATATCGAAATTACTTGAGGGTAATAATAATAATAATAGAAAATATCGTAATTATACTTGGATTGGGTGGGCGGTTTTACTAAAATAGCAACCAACACCCGGTTTTGGAACCCAAACTTAAATTATTATAATAATAATACAATTCTTTTTCAATTGGTCATTAATTGGTCAAAAGGATTTCTTTTTTGATCCATTATTTTATTCTTTTATTGCCAAATGTTCAATTGGTTAAATGGCCTATTTTTGGATCTACTGTATTAAATGATTATTTTTTCTCTTTTATGTCTAATGGTCAATTGGTTAAGAGGCTTTATTTTTGATTATTTTACAATTCTTTTTCGATTGGTTAAATGGCTTATTTTTTGATATTAATATTAAAAATAATCATTTACAATCCTTTTTTTCCTAATACTTAAATACAAATTTATTATAAAAAAGGAAATCTTTTTGGTAATTTAATCGTCACATATATTTATAGTCACGCCTTTATTATAAACTGTTATTCGTCGCGGGGACACCATTCAAGAACCAAGCAAGGCAATGGAACTTTCGTTGTACATGGGAAAGAAGGATCAAAATTTAACAAAAATATCAAGGATTTATTTTTCAACACTGCCAAATTTTCTCATTGTTTTGGTATTATTATTTATTTCAAACAATTGAATCACAATATATTTGTTTCAAAGGCTTAATTTTTATAATAAGAACCAATTAAGCTTATGTTTGCAGATAATCGATTTGATACTATATGGAAGAATATATTGGATAATTGTAATAAAAATGTCATTATATTGGCAGAAACCTTTATTGATATAATGTCCACTTTATCTGGTTTTGCTGAATATTTTATTAATATGAAATTGTGTATCATATTTGGGTATTTTGCTGGGCTAACCCCATAAGAAAAAAGAGGAAGTTTTTTTTTTGGTAAGAAATGAAAAAGTATGGCACAAATTTTGTTTAAATGATCAAGAGACTAATATTGAAATATTGGAGAAAAGTTTTATTGCAATAAAAATACAAAGTCAACTATATAACACTAATGCAACAATATTTTTTTTTACCAGTAACCATATTTTATTATCAAATAATAAATGACTTTTTATAGAATTTCACAATCGAATTTCTAAATATTTAGGATGAAGAGGTTGCACCACTATCATCAGACAAGATTTGTATACCACTAGAATTTGGTGGTAATTCACCAAATTTAGAGACATAACATGCTGTAATGATTTGTTTGAGATTCTATTGGAATAAAAATTGGAAATCTTTAAACCTTTTCTTGTGTGCGTATAATTATTGATCGGTCAATTAAAGAATTACTTACTGGGCTATCTATATAATCATCACATTCATAACACCACACAGACATATCACTAAAAGAGATGGCTAATGGATGAGATGTTTCTTGATTATGTTCACTCATGTGAGCACTAACGTATCTATATATATATAATATAATAATTAATATAATTAATTATTTGAAATAAATCATTGCCATCATCATTATATTGTCTTCTTTACCAACCAATAAATCATTCGCCATTAATGTCATTAACTTTCAAAAAAGCAGCAATTCTTTCTTACCTACTACAAAATACTTGTTGGCATTTCAAACAAAGCCAATTTTCTTTTGCGTCATTACACTTGGCACAAGGTTTGGAAGCTTTTTTTTTTTTTTTTAATTAAAAAAAGATTTTACCGCCAGCAAAAAGTTATCATCATTATCAATCACCATTATCATTTTATTTATCATTATTATCATTACCATCAACTGGATCATTCCAAGTATTAGAAATATTTTCATTATTAATAACGTGAGGACAATCTTGACGTGGTCTAACGAAATTTTGTTTGTTTGTTTCTTCGACTGGAACCATTTTGAAAAATTCAAAATAAAGTACAGTAATAGAAAAAATATTTATAACCACCTAATGCGGACATTTGTACTACAAATAATTTTCAGGGCCAAAAATTGTTTAAGGATAGGGGCCATTTTTGATGGTCAAATTTTGTTCACATGACTCACGTATAAGTAGACCATGTTGTATTGTGAATATTTACATTGCATATAGTAAATTGGCGAAAAAAATACCCATAATCTCAGCATATTTTTGCAATAGAACAAGAACGGGTTTTAAAAATGTTCGTCTGTTTATCGATAACCAATTGTTTGTTCTACGAAAATGCAAATGGAAGCATCACGTTGCAACACAATAGTAATTAATATTGAAGCGAACTGAATGATTTTTACTATAAAATGTTACAAATGCACCACCGATCATTAACAAAATCCTTTCCTTCTTAAAAGGATCACGAATTAAATGTAATTGTCAAGATCCATACCGATATCCATTTCTGAGAAGGTGTCCAACTTCCTTGATACTTTCATCATTCATATCACCATTTTCTCTGATGATAATTGCATTACCATAAACATCAGAGCTCGCAAAATTTTTCGATGCGTGAGATAGGAATCTTTCATTTTTATCTTGATTCTCCGCAAATCTCTTAATATACTCGTGTAACATTATATTAACCACAAAACTGATAAGGCCATCTGAACTTGCCAATAGTACTAATGATTTTCGATTGAGAGACATAAAAGCACTTAATATTTACTAACAAAATGAAACTAATAGAATGTTTGGTGATATGGGAAATTTGGCGTACGATGACAGTCTTCCCTTGCGAAATACGAACGGGCAACAGCTTTTTAATGTCTGGATTGACGATACCCCTACAGTGGGTTGGGGTAATAAAGAACGAACACTAGCTGAATATATATCAGAAATATTGTTAAAAGAGTATGCAGAGGCAGGAAAACGTGAAAGAGTTACCGACTCATTTGTCAACTTCCTTTTAGGAGTTCTAGAATTTAATGAATATCCGTTTTCTTTGAGATTGAAGGCAGATTGTCATTTCAAGGTGTAACAAAGTTATGACGTCAGAAACCGACTTTTCTACATGTAAACAAAAACTATTTATAATAGTTGATGAAGACAAGCACATAAAAAACGTTGACAAATTAACTTGGTGGGGCGAATTCCAAATAGCGGGGGAATTATATGTAAACCATTTGGAAATAAAAGGGAGATACTATGTTCAAACATTATTTGCTATACGTGTAATTGGGACACGATTTACATTTTACAAGGCCGAGATTGGTTTTAATTACCTCAATAGTTTGCCTAATGGGTTTCCGGGTAATAGTATGTATATATACAGGTATCCAGGGCGGAATAATCAATCTAGAGATGACATTCCATGTCTTGATTACACAGATCCTAATTAAAGAAGACAGATCCTAGAAATTATAGTAAAGATAAAAAATTTTGTGCTTCAAGATAATACAGTTTCCCGATATATAGCTATTTTCACAAACAAATTGTTTTTGTTCACATCATGTATATTTTGTAAACTTTATTTTTTATTTTTTTTTAATTGGTTGTTGTTCTCTACAACAATTTTATTTTCGTCAATAGCACATTGTGACGGAATTTAGCCTGCAGTCCTTCTTCCAATGAAAATTATCATAGTAATTATGACTAAATGTAGCTCTTAGTTGAATATGAATAATTAAAAACTATTTAGGAGAGAATGTTGCGCTAAATCGTTGTGCTAGGTTTCCCGGAACATATTTTGAGAAAAAAATTATATGATATATTTCGATTGAAAGGATCTTTGCTGACTCCTAACTTGTGTCAGGAAAAATTCTATTACGAGTGAAACATGTCGAGGTTAAACATATTATTAATTGTAGTTGATAATATTGCTTGCATAGAATTATCATCATTATCATTATTACTGTCAGAACCAACACCATTATGGTTCGGAGAAGTGTGTGTGAATATATAAATATGTATATATTTGTATATATTTTATCAATAAAAAATTTTTTTTTCATTTTTTTACAATCATTCGCGATTGTCAAATTTTAATTTCTAAATATGCCTAGCCTACTTCAACTCGCCAATAAAAATTTTGTGGAAAAATACATTATTTAAATTCGGGTCGAATTCGGTCATAATTGTTGTAAATTACAACCTGAACCCGACCTGAAGTTATTTTACGTCAAGACCAAACCCGATCGATGCAGGCCTCTGATATCTACAATCAATTTAAAATTAATAAAATGTCACAATTAATACGAATTGTTTGTTACACGCCATTTAATTCTCCAAAGAAAAAGGAAATAATGTAACTTTTATCAAACTTCTCATTTTCACTCTATTACAAAGCCAAATTTTATATTTTATAAAAACAATTATTTATAATGTCATATAATAAACTATTATCATCATTATCACCAGAAAAAAAGGAATTTGTATATAAAATTCATAATGAAATATATAATAATGCAGTGGTTAATTCTGATAAAGAAAGTGAAAAGGATTATTTTTTTTCATTGATTGAAAAAAACAAGGAGCTTTCTGAAAATGAAAAAAAATATTGTAAGGAAAGGTTTATTTACAAAATTGAATCTAAAAATGCAAAACATAAATTAGGAAAACCAAAAGAATGTAACTATTGCAAATTAACAAGATATTCGGATAAATTCTGTGAAGGTTGTATCAATTTAAAATTACAAAGTCTTTTCACCACTTGGACATCTGGAAATAATGTAATTGATAATTTTATTCAACAATGCCAAATGAAATCATCTCTGCCAAATTATATTTTAGAATGGATACCTTTTGAGCAATTTGAAAAAATAACAAAGTTGACTGAAGGTGGATTTAGTTCAATTTATAGAGCTACATGGACAAGAGGAAAAATAAATGATTATGATGAAAATAAAAAGAAGTTTGGTTATTTAGGAAGGCAGAAAGTAGTATTAAAAAGTTTAAATGATTCAAGTAATCCAGGACAAGGTTTTTTTGATGAGGTTGGTAGTTGTTATTTAAAACAAAAATAAATAATACTCTATTATACAATACTGATCAATTTTATATTTATTTCAGGCAATGAATTATTGTAAAATTAAATCATCAACGATTGTTAAATGTCATGGTATAACTAAATTCCCAGATAATGGAAATTATGCAATTGTTTTAAATAATATGCCTGAAGGAAATTTAAGGAATTATTTACAAAAAAATCATTTAAATTTAACATTAAAAGACAGAATTAAAATCATTCATGATTTATGTGATGCATTATGTCAGATACATGAAAAAGATTTAATTCATTGTGATTTACATAGTGGTAATCTATTAATAAGTGGAGGTGCTTGTTATATTACAGATTTGGGATTATGTGGACCAGTTGACAAAAGGTCATCAAATAAAGTCTATGGAATTGTATCATATCTTGCACCTGAACTACTTGGAGACAGGATTGATGTAAAGAATACAAAAGAAACTGATATCTATAGTGTTGGAATGTTAATGTGGGAAATATTTGCAGGTCATCCGCCATTTGATAATAGAGCTCATAATCATTGTTTGATTTATGATATATGTGAAGAAGGTTTACGACCACCAATATTATCTGGAATGCCTGATGATTATGTGCAAATGATGCAGAGGTGTTGGGATGTGGATCCATCTAAAAGACCAACTAGTAGAGAACTTCGGGAATTTGCTAGAAACAAACGTAATGAAATTTTTAAAAATAAAAATAAAGACCATGAAATTGATTTTAATGATGATGGTAACAGCAGTAGTGGTGGTAGTAGTAGTGTACATGAATCACATCCAGATGCATATCACACAAGTAGAATATTAGATGAAGAAATTGCTAAATCTAAAAGCTTAAAAAGTTATACAAATAATAATAGCTCATTAAATAATCTTGATTTTAGCTCTCTTCTCTTAAATGTTGAAGGTGAATAAAAATTTCATTATTAATAATTAATTGGAAATTACTATCCATTTACTAACAATATTTTTAATTGACTAATAATAACATTAGATTCTAGGATTGATAAATGACTGATTTAATCACCTACTATAAATTATTTATTCATTATATTTTTTATTTTATCTTTATTTTATTTTTTATAACTAAATTATAATAATAATAAACTTTTATGGGGTTTTTTAATTCTTGTTAAATGGTGATATTGCAAGGTAGCATTTTGGTTATTTAACATGTATGGCTGATTACGGCTTAACTTTTGGACTGCTCTTGTTAGTTAATTGCAAGAAACTCGGAATAATTTGGTGCTTGTCAATTAATTAATTAGTTTACAAATTTACTTTGGTTCTCTCTTTCTTGCACCTAGACGAATCTGTAAGCGCATTTAATGGTACCAGATAACTGTAAATAAATAAAGATGGCCCCTTTACAAAGCTCAAGGTCTTCTATAAAGTTTTCTTGTGATTGATTTATTTCAGTTGTTTATATTCATTGATCAATTGCTTTACATTTACAATTACAATAACATTATCCAATTAATCTTTGTACAATACTTCACCAACTGTCGCCAACACTCATCAGCTAACCAATGTTAGTTTAACCTTTGCCTACTCTCTAAAGAAAATAAAACGTGGCTCTTTTTACCAAAGCGTTTTAAACAAAGAAACATTTTTATTTTTAAAACTTAATTACCGATTTTTATTAGAATGTTAATTGTGTATTTATTTTTCCTTTACTCTTTCAAGCAATAACTCGATGTCGTTCCAAATTGTTAAATTTCTGTTAATAAAATCTTCGAAATTAATTGAATTATCTAGGGGAATGCTTTTTTTTTTAAGAATAATTTTATATTTGTAAAGGAATGGAAACCTTTTTTTCTAATCTTTTATATTCTTCGATAAAGGCATTCTTATCCAACAAAATTATTTGAACATCTGCCCAAGAGATACACCTATATACTAAGAACGATATATGCCTGCAGGAAAAAATATTCTGCGAGTAGAGTTAAACCTTGTGTTCGATGAAAAGGAATTTTTCAAGGGGAATTGAGCTTTTGAAGCATATGATCCATTCAAATAGAAATTTGATGTACCTTTTGACAATTCAATGTCTACCAATTTTTGCGCACGTACAATGATATGTTTTTGTTCGTTTTTAAGCATATAAATTGAAACTTGGTAGAAAGTAATAACTTCAGTGATAACGAAATTAATCAAAAAAATTTTAGAGTATTTTTAGATAGTTTACGAACCAAAGAAAAAGAAAAGCAAACAAACGAAGTTAATATTTACATGTTTGATCTATATACAAACACATTTTCTACCCAAATTTTACCAAAAATCAATTATTTTAGTTTTAAAAGGCTATTTATTTTGTCATTCATCAATACATCAATGTGTTAAAGTATCTTCAGGTAAAAAAATCAGTTCACGCAAATTTTAAATATCAAAAAGTACAAGGGATAAGAATAATGATTCGTTAAGGTAAAATAATTCTTTATTTTCGTTGGGTGAAATTTTCTGATTCGATTAATTAATTCTTTATCGGATTTCCTTAAGAGTTCTAAATAATTCTAATAAAAATTTTAATTTGTAAAAATTTGTAACGGTTTTAATATCTCCTATGTCTCATATACTGTCTATGATGGATTTTTTTTCGTTGAAACAGAAGGGCCGTTATAGAGAGAGTGAACCATATTGTATTTTTTTTATTATATTGTTCATTCAAGAATTTTAAAGAGAGGGAAGAACACACCTTAATGAGAAAGCCAAAAGATTCAATTTTTTCTTTGTGTCATCTTGAACACATGACAATTATCAATAAAATATAATAACTGATAAAAGTGGGTGGCTTAATCTACCTCGATTGATATAAAATGTTAAAGTAAAACGAAATCGCACCATTAAAACCTTTCTTTTCGTATGGAAAGGTCTTCTCTACATAAATCCACAGCCATTCAAAAATGGCACACTTCAAAGCTGAGATTATTTTCAATATATCACTTTAAAAACTTGATAGTGGCTCCAAGCTGTCATATGGGGAATGCTGCAACAAAGTGAACATTTTATATTACCAAAAATTTCATGTTTCAAGATTTAATGCCTCCCTCATCTTTTATTTGAAACTATTGACTATTTTTTGATAAGCTTGTAGAGCAGTTAAGACCATATTTAATAAAGCTCTCGCCGAGTTTTTACATATAAAATATTGTGCTATTTCTGCAGCAGTTCCACACTGATTTTACTATTACTATGATGTTTAATACTCTTTTCCTTCACTGATATGGATAGATCAATATAACATGACCAGGGACCCCTGCCCTGTGATATTTTCCCAAAAGGACAACGATCTGCGACGATATTTTTTGGAAGGGGGAGGTTTAATGCAATAATTTATTTTTTAAATTAATATTATAATTATTATCATCTATATATATTAAAAATAAAAATTGATTTAGATTAAATATTAATTAACTCTAATTATAAAAATTAATATATATATATTTCGTATTAAAAAATTTATATAATATATATTTTGTTTTTTTAAAAAAAAAATTATTAATTCTTAAAAAAAAAAAAATGATCCAATTATTGCAATTTCTTTTTTGCAAAAAAAAAAAAAAATTATATATATGTAAAAATCAATTTTTTTCCTTTTAATATAATACAAATTTTAAAAAAAGTTTTTTTTAAAGATTTAACTGAGATGCATCAAGTCCTAATGCATTTAAAAATAAATTGACATTTGCAATTTTATGAACTGTTTTATCTGATGCAAATCTATTGTTAGCTTTTGATATTGTTTCAATTACCCTCTCTCTAAATAATTAATCAAAAAGAATTTTTTTTTTTAATTAAACGTTGTAATCGAACAATAATATATATGATAATAATATACATAAAAAATATAATAGGAATTATTACCTCACTTCAGTTACTAAAACATGTTGTTGCTCAATTGAAGCACCAACAGCCATTGCCGCAAGAAATTGCCATACATACATGTCATCAATACCATATCCAAATGGAGGAAATAAAGAAACATAATGTCCTTGTAAAAGATTAAATAATCTATTATATAAGTCCTGCCTGATTAATAATATAATTTTATTAGATGATAATTATTATTATATAAACATTTATTTCTTTAAAAAATTCGTTAATTATGAAATACCATTGTAAAAGTTCATGTTCATCAGGAATTGGTAAACTTTGATTTTTTCCTCCACCTTGTTTCAATATTTCAGCACGACTCAAAAACATTGTCAAGAAAGCCAATCCGACCTTTAATTTTTTCAAACGTATTATTATTGTGAGAAAGGAAGAGAAAGAAGAAAAATAATCCATTAAAAAAAAAAAAGTTTTTATCATACCTTGCATCTTGAAACCCAAATAATTTGATTCTTTTCAAGAAAAAATGCAAATAATCTACTAATAATATGAATTGGGGCTTCTGCAACGTATTGCAATAGAGGTGGAACCACAGTATTCATAAAAAGCTCTACATCTTCAAGCATTGTTAAGGCACCGTATATTTGAGATCCCCATATTGCTCCTTTACAAACATCTAGTGATTCAAAATTCATCACTAAAACACTAAGCAAACTGATCATCTGATCTGATGCAAAATATCTTATGATTCGTGGAATAAGCTTTTTCCCTTTTCTCACTGAGAGTATACTAATGAACGGATGCAAATAACTATTTTTCCGCAAAACATTTTAAACGATTTAATAAATGTTTTTTTTCATTAGCACAAACAATTAATTAATAATCAATTAGCAAATATACCCAGCGCCCACAGGCTGTTCATCAACTCTTAATTCATCCCACATCGATTTTATTATTTTTGAACATTCATCATTCCTAAAAAAAAAAAAAATTTAAAATATACGATTAATTATAATTGATCTACTAAACAAATTTGTAAAAAATAAAATCGTTTTTGAACTATTTCAATAAAAATGTATATACATATATATATACATACCATTTTTCAATTGCCTTTTCTCTCTCATGATCTCCATATGATCGAGGGGGCAAAGGATGATTTCTTCTCAACTCTTCTAGCACTAACACAGCAGAAAAACAATTTTCAATAGAACGTAATACCTTTTTATGATCCATGACACCATGTGTTGTAATATAGGGTATTTTCTGATGAAAATGTTGTTGTTGTTGTCCAGGAGAACTAACAGTTGCATTATGCGTATCATGTGGTTTTGTAGAAACTTGTAATAATTGCCTAGGATTACGAACTGAATTAAGTGCAATTTTACCCAAAGCACCTTCAAGTGATACTAAAAATAAACAAGTAGATTATTTAATAATTTATAACAATATGTGTGTGTGTGTGCGTGTTTACCTGTACAAATTTTCAATAGAAATAAAAAGTAAAAACCAACTTCTTACGCTGAGTTAACTTTGGTTTCCTTCTAGCATCATTTACTATTCGTAAAACTTGTTGTTGCATCTTGAATAAACCACTTTCTGATCCTCTACTTCGATGTCGACCACGTTCATGACCCATGAAACCTCCACCATTATTACCACCATGATGATGTGAAAAGTTACCCATGTGTGGTTGTGATTGTCGTGATCGCACTGCGGAATAAACTTGACAATAAAAGTCATCAGCATAAGGATCATCAGTAACGAGCTGTGATATTTGAATGCGGTTTACATAATCTTTATCACTTTGGGTCATAAGACCATTGTATTTTGACTATGAAAAAAATAACAATGAAACATTTAGTTTAGAAATAATATTTCAGTTAACAAAATATATAAAATAATTACAATTTCAGCCAATTTTCGTTGTTTCTCTCTTTTTTTTTTCTCTCTCTGGTGCATAATAGCCTCTTGTTCTCTCAATGCAGCCTCTTGTTCTAATAAAACTATTTTTTCCTGTTCTCTCAAAGCAGCATCTGTTGTTGAAGGAAACATAGGAAGAGGAGGAGGGATACCATTTAAACCTAATATAGCAGCCTCAACTTCTGCTAAACTCAACATCCTTTTTTCAGGAATTCCCCTATGTAAATGCATGTCAATATCTTCCAAGGACATTTGAATATGTGAAGGTGGAGGATGGGGTGGTGGTGGCGGTAGTGGTGGCGGGCCAAACCCAGGTGGAGGAGATGTTTGGAGAGGAGGGTATCGTTGAGGAATACCGTAATGACCTGTCATGTTATTGATATTATTACTTTCTTGAATAAGACTAAGAGAATCTAAATTAAGAAATAAATAAACATTAAAAAAGTTATTGGTATTTGTATTATATTTTAATTAAAAAAATCTTTATTGAATTCGTCAATTACTATACCTCTACGATTTGATTGAGGATGAAAAGATCCCCATATTGAAGGACTTATTGGTGACTAAAATGAAAGTTTTTTGAAAAGAATTTAACATACTGTAAAATAAATAAGATTAAAGAAAAAAATTGAAACATTTTAAGCACCTCGGGTAATGTTGGTGTTCCTATAATTTCTTTTGTATGTCCAGATTTTCCATTGGCTATATTCTCTGGATCATTTCCCCATAAAGATGAATAGGAAGATGCCCTATGATTATTTATATCTATAATTGCATAAATTATTTTTGATAAGTCAAAAATCAAAATTGTTAAATTATAAAATTTGAAGCATGCATGAATCATAATAATACCATCGAAAAATTCCGCATTAAAGTCTTCCCCTCGATTAACATATAAAGCTTCTTCATTCTTTATTGTATCGGTAATTTTAGTATTATTTTCAAAAAAATCAAAATCTTTTCCTAAATTTGATTAATTGAAGAAAAATTAAATGAGGAACAATCGACGCGAAATTTTGATATATCGGACTGATATTTCTATTTAAAAAATTATGAGGCTTAAATAATTTGATCTGTAATTAAAATTAATTGCTCTATATCATATTTTCGGTAAAATTCTACAATGCAAAAAAAAAAGAGCCTAAATAGATAATGCATGTCTAAAAAAGATCAATCACGCACCAATATTTACTTCTGTTCCAAAAGTTAAATCATTAAGTTCGTCTCCTGCCTCTTCCAATTGAGAACTTAAATTGTACTCGTACTCTTGATCAGGTTGAAGGAGCCAATTTTTAAATTTCTTTTCAATTTCTTCTACATTATCATCTTTTTCTTCAATGCTTTCACTATTTAATTCAGCCAACTGTTCATTATTTAATGGTGGCATTGTAGTATCGAAGCCGAAGAAAGAGTCCGACATTGTGATTCTTTTTAGCTTCTTTGCACTTTTGAAAAGTGATTTAAAGGAAAACAGATAATATGAAATATATTGATGCAATATTGATAAATTGGAAAAAAAATCAGTATTCTTTCTGAATGGTATGATATTAAATCGATTTCATTGGTTAAATTTTTGCAAATCTTTACAAATTTTATTTCGAATTATATCACCTAACATCACCTAATCACTCATTATTACTATATATATTAATAATATTTAATATATTTAAATATTAGTATTAGGAAAATATCATTTACGAAAATTTGAGTATTAGTTATTTGTTATGCATTAAATTAAATCATTATCATCATCGTTATATATTACTCTTATTATATTAAAAAATTAAAAAACACAAGTGGGAAAAATAAACCGCTGGATTGCAAATTATATATATAGAGATTTGCGCGATAAAAAGTTTTTATTATGTGAAAAAATAATTAGACACAAACTGAAAAAAGGAAGGTTCATCATCATCATTAAAAAAATCTTCCAATCTGTTCATTTTTAATTTTGCATATTTCCATTTTTGACGACGTGTGCCGGAAATTGTAACTTTGAAAACATGGTAAGTTTCTTCAGTTATACATTCAATTGACATACACACAAATCGGTTCTATAACGAAGGTTGCATAATACCACAATAGAATCATAACGCATCTTGTCCCATGTTTCAAACTTTTGAAATAGCATCAAAGCGTCTTTGTATACATCATGCCACATTGTATAAATCATCTCTGTCATACTTTGCAATTTTCATCTCACCTTTGATAAATTTCGCAGTGATTCGAATGTGAATTGATTATCAATGCGAGTGGGACATCCGGTAATTATAATCATCTGGTGACATGGACCTCGTAATAATATTAATATTCAGAGGAAATGTATGAAAATCAATAAACTAATTGTGAAAAACGGGGGTTTTAAAAGGTTCAATCAGGGCGTAAAAAGTACTTGATACGATCGTTTGAAATTTAAATAGACATCTTTTTTTATGCCAAAAAAGTCACCAACCGTCGCAACGATTTATTTTGGTTGCTTTCTTATGCTAAAAATCATTGTGATATAATCTTTGTTATATATATATATACAGTGCACATCATCACTAACGTCAAATTTAAAGCTCCGAACAATTCGGTTCGGATTCAGCTCGGAGCTTTAGACTAGAAACTACTTGACAGTAGTCCCTGGTATTCTAATTTTTGCAATCTGCTTATTTAGAATTAAACTCATTGATTTCTGATCTAATAAACTTATTATAACAACCAGTGTCTCGGTTGGACGAGTTTTTTCTGGAGGCACAAGACTTAATTACTCAAAGGCGTTGTAGTTTAGAACCTGAAACAATAAGAGTTTAAAAGTTTGGCGATGACAATGAATTTCATATATGAATTGAAAAAAATAGAATGTCGTTAGAGTTTCTATTCGAATAAAACAAATAAAGCGAATAAAGCGAATAAAGCGAATAGAACTAACAAAGCGAATAATTCGAATTTGTATTACGAATAGAAACTCTGAAAATGAACCTTCGCTACCATGGCCTAAAAATTATAGGCCGTGTATGTATTCAGAAACAGGATCCTTCCAGCATCTCTACTTCCCAACACACACATTCGCCAAAACTAAGCTACAAGTTATTATAATTTTTTTGTAAAGTTGTTACATATGTAAACTCGATAAGTCGGGTGAACTCATATGACCGACTTATCGAGTTCACATATGTATGTATATTTTTGCATAGTTAACGAATTTAGAATGTTTGAAATTTTTGGGTCAAATGTAGACCGAAAAACCGAACCGAACAGCTCGGAGCTTTAGGTACAGCTGAGTCGATAAAGTTAATGCACCATCAATCTCTGTTAAGTCGATAATTGAACTATATTGGCTGGCGTTATAGTTAATTTTGATATAGTATAATTCTAGATATCGATGGTAATTATTTTTTTGTTAACAATTAATTATATCTTTTATATATAATAATAGTAATATATGATATTGTGAACATTTATATTATTTGAACGTTATTAATTTTTTCTAGCCACACGACGAAATTTCAACACAGCCAACAAGTGGTCGTTCTATATAGCCAAAATTCAACCGTAAAAGTTATCAATCAATAGTCACGATAATCCTCAGTTGATCAGTAGATCTTCATTTTTATTAGATGAATATTTGCAATTGGTCCTGCAAGCAAACCAACTTGCCTAATTGAACTATATTTTAGCTGGTCTTGCAGTATCCAGAATAAATAGGATTTTGTTTTATTAATTTTTACTGTTATTGCTCCACTCAATTGCAGGTTTCTTAATGGCAAAAAAACTCCTAATACAACAGAGTTATGCTGATTTTAAAGGATCATCAATTAATCAGTGTATAGATTTTATTAGAAAATATTAATTTATTATTAGTGATAAAACAATCAACTAAAACTAGAGATAATGGATTTAAAAATGGTATTATTTTCATCATACATTTATTTTTTATTGAAAATTTAAAGACGAGCAACAATTTAAGTGGATCTAACAAAGATTGTACCCTTTATTGTGGAAATCGTGATGATGATGATGATGATGATGATGATAATGATAATGATGATGATGATACAGAATCATATTTACAAAATAATATCAAAATTCAGCCTTGTTCTTCAAGAGAGAACTGGAAGTTATGTATATATAGTAATTTTAATATTTTGAACATTGTGCTTCATCTAGTTAACTCAAATAACATCAATTGGGATAAAAATGCAGATCCTCACGACATCAATTCGTCCTAAATTGGATTATACTTGATAACATGCAGTAATATACACAGTAATATATTCTTTTATCCAAGAAATCACATTGATTACATCAAAATCGTCAGGAAGTGCTAATGGAATTTTTTATATTTGAAATATACCGAGATGTTAATTTTTAATATTTGGATATTTGAATGATAACAACAAAGATGGCAATATAAAGAACCATTTTGTCAGAGGTGTAAAGCAAATAAAGTCAATGATAAAAAAGAACATTCTTTAAAAAGATATTGGTCTGATGGAATATTAAGCAAAATAGTTTTTCACATAATAAAATGTTCTACATTTCTCTAGACAGATCCTCGTGGTGCACATCATCTATAAACGTCAAAAATGGTCACCTGACTTTAAAAGTTTATATATAGCGCAAAATTTTTAAAGAAAGAAATTCTAATGGAACTTTTGCAAGGAATCATGGAGATACTAATATTAACAATCATATCATTTGTTTATTATTAGCTGATGATCCTAATTTAACAATGATTGAAAATGATGATTTCTTTGAATAATAAATAGTATAGAATTTTTTCCATGTATGACTAGATTTGACCCAATGTTACACGTGATATTTAATTATTTTTTATCAAAAAAAAAAAAAGATTGGGATTTTTTTTTTCTAGTGTAAAAATTATTTTTAATCATGGTTGATTCATGGGTAAATTATATATTTTTTACTTCAATAAAAATTTATATACACTTTATTAAATCATCTTGTAACTGTTTGATAACAGAATAGTTGTCTTAATGTTCCTTTACATGAAGAAGATAAAGAAATTTATGAATTAATTCAAAAAGAAAAATATAGACAATTCTCTGGTTTAGAGTTAATTGCATCCGAGGTACATTGTATATGTATATATATATATATATACAGTCAAACCTCGTTCAACGAATCTGTAGGGACGGACACAGGGAAATTGCATCTAAAATTCGTTATACTAAATTACTATCGCGTTTCAACGAATTTTATATACTTTTTATATGTGAAGCAAAATTTTTAAACATTCGTTGCAACGCGAATTTAATTTTAATTCGTTGAAACGAGGTTTGACTATATTTGTTTACAAAAAGAAACAACTAAATTCATCTGTATTTTTTTTTTTATCATAGAATTTTACTTCTCAAGCTGTAATGGAAGCTAATGGATCACCACTAACTAATAAGTATTCCGAGGGGCTTCCTGGTGCACGTTATTATGGTGGGAATGAATATATTGATCAGGTAGAAAGTATTTGTCGCAAAAGAGCTTTACAAGCTTTCAGATTGGATTCTGAGGAATGGGGCGTGAATGTTCAACCTTATTCTGGAAGCACAGCTAATTTTGCTGCTTTAACTGCTTTGATTCAACCTCACGATCGATTAATGGGTTTGGATTTACCATCGGGTGGTCATTTAACACATGGTTGGCAAACATCAAAGAAAAAAATTTCCACTTCTTCAATATATTTTGAATCAATGCCATATCGTGTCAATCCTGAAACTGGAATCATTGATTATGATCGTTTAGAAGAAAACGCCAATCTTTTTCGTCCTAAACTTATTATATGTGGCGCAAGTGCTTACGCTCGTGATTGGGATTATGTCAGGTTAAGAAAGGTCGCAGATCAACATGATGCCTTTTTAATGGCTGACATTGCCCATATTGGTGGTTTGGTTGCAGGTCAAGAAGCCAATAATCCTTTTGAACTTTGTGATGTTGTTACAACCACCACTCATAAAACCCTTAGAGGTCCACGCGCTGGTTTAATTTTTTTTAGGAAAAAAAAAGATTTAGAATCTCGTGTTAATAATGCAGTTTTCCCATCATGTCAAGGTGGGCCGCATAATAATACTATTGCAGCAATTGCCGTTTCCTTAAAACAAGTTGCTACCCCTGAATTTCAACAATACGCAAAACAAGTTCGCGCTAATGCCAAAGCTTTGGGTAATGCTCTTATAAGTCATGGTTATCGATTAGCAACCGGAGGGACTGATAATCATTTAGTTCTTTGGGATTTAAAACCTCTTAAATTAACCGGTAGCAAGGTTGAGAAGATATGTGACATGGTCAAGTACATACATATACTTTTTTTATTATGATTATTCATTCTATTTTATTAATATTAACAGATTTATATTTATATTATATCATATTATATAATTGATCCTCAAATCACTTAGCATAACAATTAATAAAAATTCTGTTCCTGGTGATACCAACATGTTATCTCCAGGTGGTGTTCGTCTTGGAACTCCTGCATTGACATCAAGAAGTTTTAAAGAAAAAGATTTTGAAAAAGTTGCCGAATTCTTAAATCGTGCAGTACAAATAGCTCTTGCTGTACAGGTATCATTTAAAATTAATTTAAAATTTTGGTCAGTTCATTTCATTAAAAAAAAATATACCAATAAATAAATTTTTACTGGATCAAGGAAAAAGCAGGTAGTAAAATGATGAAAGATTTTGTTGCTGCATGTCAAGACAATGAAGACATTGCCAATCTAAAAAAAGAGGTGGAATCATTTTCTACAACTTTTCCAATGCCAGGTAAAAAATAGATAAAAAATATATTTATCTGTTGTATTTGTTGGGCACTGTAGCATTTTTAAACTTATTTTAATTTATTTTAAATTTGTTCTCTTAGGTTTTGATAGTAGTAACCTTGTCACCGTGCCAGAAAATTAATATATTTAAATTATTTATCAAATGGAAAAAATGACATTTTTTAAAATTGTTGGATAATTTTTATTAATAAACCTTTTAGAAAATAACTGATTATTTCTAAATACACAAAATATTAAAGAAAAAATTTCTACTATTGATTTAAATTTCCTTCATCTGAAATATGTACTAATTGATAGCTACTGAGCCACCCTAACAAATCTTGGGGCATGTTCAGAAGCGGTTTTGGTTTGTGTGCTCTTACCTCTTCCTTGACAAGGCTTTCGTCATTTGAATTATACATAAAGTCAGAATAATTTTGGATAGTCGAGTCGGAATAATTTTATTGATTGAAAAATCGTTGTACTATTTCTTCTAATTGTTCTAATTGTGATTTTGTGACAAGGAATCAGAAAATGCAAGACATAAAATGATATGTTTATCCAAAATATCACTATTACTATATCGAAAGTTTTTGGGGTGCAGTTTAAAAATCTTGCCACAGGTGACAGTCCCAGTTGCATTAAATTCAGTAACGCTTTGTAAAATTAGAAAATTTGCAAGGGGATGATGATGATGTTACAGATAGTGAACAAAGCATTAATTAAACCATTGTTACTCATAAAGAATCAAATTAATATTAATTTTTTCTTTTTTAATTATCCATTAATACAGATTTAGGAATTCTCCTGAGATTTTTTTTTCCTGAAAACCCTAATCTGTAAGCACTCAGATCTGTAACAAAGTTTTATTAATCACGTGAAAGTCACGGACATGCATTTAGAGAGATTGGGAAAAGACCGTGCAGTGTATTTATGGAAGGATGCATTTATCTCTTAAGTCTCAATCTTGGGAATGAGACATAGGTACACTTGTGGAGGTATGCATTGATAGAGTGTGTACTTATGGAGGGTTGACTGTACAAGTTGTTCGACTTCTTCTTAATGATCATTGCCATATTTGTAATGTCATAATTGGTTTTTCATAGTTGCCATAATTAACTAATAGTTGCCAAAATTATCCCTGTAATTCTTTAACTCAAATGGCATAATATTTATCATCCATATAAAAAAATGTTGAGAATCTGTAATTATTGCAAACAACCATATTAATATGTAATTAGAAACATAAATGGCACAACACTGTATGCAAGTAACACAGGTAGCACGGAATACGATAATAGTAAATATCATGATGACGTTTCCTCTATGATTAATTGACATAACGTAACTTTCCAAATAAAGTGTTCCTATTAACGTAATAATAAACCTTTCTTCTTTTTCTATATATACGTCCTTTTTTTGAGGTTTTTTTTACTAACTAAATCGTTCAAATTAAATATCATTTTAATAAATTACTTGTATGTTTAATAATAATTATTATTTTTTCAAGGGATTAAAAAAAAATACATTTGTCTAACAAATTCTATTTTCTCCTACTTGTTCAAAGTTTATTTTTCATAAAGCTTACGATTTATTAAAATTTTACTTAAAAGTCCATAAAAAACAATGACAGGAGGAAAGGGTAAAGAAATGTATGTATATTTAAAGTTATCTGGCTCTTCTACTCTTAATTTTTTAGAAAAACTATTTTTAGGATGAGAGTATTTTTAAGGTTCAATTAATAAAGATTTTAAATGAAATCTTAATTTATAGTGATGTTTCTGACAATCCAGCGCAAAATCAACCTTCTAATAATGATCCAGCAACAGCTATACTTCGTGATAAACCCGCAAAAAATAAGCTTATTGTAGATGATGCAACCCAAGATGATAATTCTGTGATGGCACTTTCTACAGCCACTATGGAAAAATTGCAACTTTTCCGTGGTGATACTGTATTAGTAAAAGGCAAAAAAAGACGTGATACAGTGTTAATCGTTTTAGCAGATGATAGTTGTGATGATTCTAAAGTAAAAATTAATAAAGGTTAATATTTAATCTATATATTCATTTATTCTTATTTAATAATTTTATGAATATATGTTTATCTATTTTTTAGTTGTGCGAAACAACTTACGAGTACGTCTTGGAGATGTAGTATCAATACATCCATGTACCGAAATCAAATATGGAAAGAGAATTCATGTATTGCCAATTGATGATACAGTTGAAGGAGTAACAGGAAACCTTTTCGAAGTATACTTGAAGCCTTATTTTTTGGAAGCATACAGACCTGTAAGAAAAGGTGATTTGTTTTTAGTTAGAGCTGCCATGAGAGGTGTTGAATTTAAAGTTGTAGAAACAGAACCAGCAGATTATTGTATTGTAAGTTCTAATCACTTTATTTTTGTTTGTTGTCCGATGATTTTTTAAAAAAAATTGATTTATTAAATTCATAATAAATAAAAAAATAAAAAGGTCACACAAGACACAGTGATACATTGTGAAGGTGAAGCAATTAAACGTGAAGATGAAGAATCAAATCTTAATGATGTAGGCTATGATGATATTGGTGGCTGTCGTAAACAAATGGCACAAATTCGTGAACTTGTTGAACTTCCACTCAGACATCCTCAACTTTTCAAATCAATTGGTATAAAACCACCACGAGGTATTCTTATGTTTGGGCCTCCTGGTACCGGTAAAACTTTAATCGCTCGTGCAGTAGCCAATGAAACTGGTGCATTCTTCTTTTTAATTAACGGTCCTGAAATAATGTCAAAGATGGCCGGTGAATCTGAAAGTAATCTGAGGAAAGCATTCGAAGAGGCAGAAAAAAATAGTCCTGCCATAATTTTTATTGATGAAATTGATGCTATAGCTCCAAAACGTGAAAAGGTTTTTGTTTATTAATAATATTTAATTGTATTTTTTAGATATATATATATATATATTAAATTTCTTTTAATTCATTTAGACAAACGGTGAAGTAGAACGTCGAGTTGTTTCTCAACTCCTTACATTAATGGATGGTATGAAAGCTAGATCAAATATTGTTGTAATGGCAGCAACTAATCGTCCAAATAGTATTGATCCTGCACTTAGGCGTTTTGGACGATTTGATCGTGAAATTGATATTGGTATTCCTGATCCAGTTGGACGCTTAGAAATTTTACGAATTCACACAAAAAACATGAAATTAGGAGATGATGTTGATTTAGAAAAAGTACGTTGTTACATGTGGTTTATTGAGGGAGATTTTTTTTAAAAAAAAATTATTTATTTTATATCAATCTTCTACCAAAATTAGATCGCATCAGAAACTCATGGTTATGTTGGTTCTGATATAGCTTCTTTATGTTCAGAAGCTGCAATGCAACAAATTCGCGAGAAAATGGATGCTTTCGATTTAGAAGATGATACTATTGATGCTGAAATATTAGATTCTTTGGCAGTAACTATGGATAACTTTAGAGTATGCTTTTATTATTTTATTTTATGAATTTATATATGCTCCTTCTATTTATTTACTTAAATAATATAAACACATACACATACATATATAGTATGCTTTAGGGGTTTCAAATCCATCAGCTCTTCGCGAAACAGTCGTTGAAGTTCCCAACGTTACTTGGCGTGATATTGGAGGTCTTGAGAAAGTTAAACAAGAACTTCAAGAAACTGTACAATATCCTGTGGAGCATCCAGAAAAATTTTTAAAATTTGGTATGTCACCTTCCAAAGGTGTATTATTTTATGGACC